TTTTATGTGCTTCTCATATTAAACACAACCTCATTTCTGTTTCTTAATTTTGCAAACATAAAAAATATTTCAATTGAATTCTTTCCTGATTCCTTTCTTGTTAAGGACTTGAGCACGAGGGCATCCTTGGTCCAGGGCCCGAATAGAGGCAACATCTACGAATGGCTGTCAACTCCATAAATTACCCAACCCACTGTTCATTCTTCCGTTGTTGCCCCAGTTGATGTGTGACATCATCGTCTTGGTCATCCCTCATCCTTTTTTCAGCAGAAATTACTTTCTCATTCCTCTCTTCCTATTTTTAAATCGCATAGTTCTATAACGCATTGTGATGCATGTCTTAGTAATAAAAGTCATCGATAACCCTTTGGCTCATCTTCCATTTCCTCCTCTAAACCATTTGAAATTATTTATATAGATGTTTGGGGCCCTGCCCCAATCCTGTCTTTTGATAAATTCAGATTTTATGTCATTTTTGTAGATCACTTCACTAAATACACATGGTTCTATCCTCTTCACCATAAATCTAACGTTTCGACCATCTTTCCCACTTTTCGAAAGTTGGTCGAAAACCACTTTCAGTCTATAATCAAAACGGTTTACGCTGGCGATGAATATCAAGCCCTGGCATCCTATCTCTCAGCTTGTGGTATCAAACACCTCAAGTATCCCCTGTATACTCCTCAACTTGTTGGCTTCGCCGAACGTAAACTTTGGCATATAGTAGAAATTAGGCTCACACTTCTCCATCAGGCCTCCATGCCTTCAAACATTTGGATAGCAGCCTTTCAACCGTCTATCTTATTAATAGAATGCCTATGCTAGTCCTACAATACCAGTCCCCTTTTGACACACATTTCACAAAACCCCAAACCTTCGTAAACTCAGAGTATTCGGTTGTCTATGTTATCCATGGTTACGTTCATATGCCTCTCATAAGTTAACATCACGATCTAATCCTTGCGTTTTTATTGGTTACTCTCTTGAACATAATGCTTTCCGTTGTTATAATCTCCACACTCATAAAGTCTTTATATCACGTCACGTTATTTTTATTGAGTCTATCTTTCCTTTCCAAACTCATACCAATCATACCATACAGACCACTTCATTAACCATTCCTCATTGGCGTATACCTCCGATCCAACCGGACGAGCCTCCCATGACATCGTCTAGTTCCTCCTCTCATGATCCACACTATATCACTCCTCCAGTTCAGCAATTGCCCATTCCCTCCATTCCTACTCCACTTCTTTCTTCTTCAAATGTTAGGGTAATTAGTTCAGAAACACAATCGTTATCTTTACCTCCTTCTCGGTCAAGTTATACTAACGTACCTCCACCTGACTCGACCTATATCAATGACTCTCAACCACTTATTCCAACAACACAATCTCACGATCCCATAGTCTCCAACCATCCTATAATCACATACTCTAAGAGTAGTATTTTCAAATCACGTCAAGTCCTTGACCTCCATGCTATCATGGATTCCTCATCCACCATCGTTGAACCCACAACCTTCACTCAAGCCCAAAAATCTCTACATTGGCGTACCGCCATATGTGATGAATATAATGTCCTCCTCCATAACTCAACATGGGATCTAATACCCTTTCATCATACATAAAATATCATCGGGTATAAGTAGGTCTTTTGAATTAAGTAGAACCCAAATGGCTATGTTGCCTGATATAAGGCACACCTCGTTGCCAAAGAGTTTTCATCAAAGACCTGGAGTTGATTTCACTGAGACATTTAATTTCGTTGTCAAGCCGACTACAATCTTACTTATCCTGAGTTTGGCCACCATTAAGGGCTGGCAATTACGACAATTAGATGTTAATAATTCTTTTTTACAAGGGACTATAACTGAATCTATTTTTATGCAACAACCTCCTGGTTTCACTCATTCTCAGTACCCAAGGCATGTTTGCAAACTGCAAAAAGCTATTTATGGACTTTGTCAGGCTCCAAGAGCTTGGTACACAGAACTTGGCTCTTTTCTGACTTCAATTGGCTTTCTCAACTCTAAATCTGATACCTCGTTATTTCTACGACAACATCATAGTAACATAATATATATTTTGGTATATGTGGATGATATCATTGTCACAGACAACAATCCCATAGCAATCCAAACGTTCATTAAATAGTTAGTAGATCAATTCTCGCTTAAAGATCTAGGACCCTTGAACTACTTTCTAGACGTAGAAGCTACATTCACTTCTTCCAGTCTCTTTCTCTCACAAAGAAAGTACATTCAAGATTTATTATCAAAAATAAACATGTAGGATACAAATGCGGTTATAACTCCTCTCTCTACTAGTGGCTCCCTCAAATTATCTGATAGAAATTCTACTACGGAGCTCACTCAATATCGACAAGTCATTAGCTCCTTATAGTACTTAGCTCTCACCCATCCAGACATCTCCGTTGCAGTCAACAAATTATCATAGTTTATATAGAGGTTGTCTACTCTACACTGGTCTGCGGTCAAACGAGTCCTGTGATATCTTAAGGGGACCCTCAATCATGGTCTCTTTCTTCGTAAACACTCTCTACGTCATCTTCATGCCTTTGCTGATATCGATTGGGCAGGCAACTTTGATGATCAAACATCCACATCGGGGTATATTGTCTTCCTTGGCGTTAATCCAATCAGTTGAAGTTCTAAGAAGCAAAAGATAATCGCACGGTCTACAACTGAAGCTGAATACCGTGTCATCGCCATTGCCACTGCAGAACTCAATTAGGTCACAAATTTGCTCAAGGAACTCAACATTAGTTCCTCTCCTTCAATAATATATTGTAATAATGTCGGAGCTACCTATATGTGCGCTAATCCGGTATTCCACTCCCGCATGAAGCATGAAGCCTCTCGATTGATATGAGCACTATCTTGTAGGAGCATGATAGCAGATAAGATTTTCCTAACTGTACGAGAAAATCTCTCTACTTTATTGAGGAAAATCCTTTATTATATAAATAGGAAGAGAACAGCTTCAATGCAATAAACTTCTTCTATCTTCTATCCTCTTTCAACAAATCATAGATTCTTTTATCTTCTATCCTCTTTCAGCAAATCATAGATTCTTTTTATAATAGAATTTTTGATTAAGTCAATATCTCTTCTAAAATTCTTTATAAGATGATACTCTATATTATCCATCTTCTCTCATAATTGATACAATAGTGGTAAAATAATTTTTGGTCCCCAATCAGAGTTAGTCGTAAGCACATAGAAAACTCTGATTGATCATGCAAGTAATCGGATAATTATCCTATTTAACCCTAACCAAATTGAGATAGACCGAGGTAATTGGATGTGTCCTGAACTGCTACAATAAATGAAGAAATGAAGAAGTATCTTAATAACCAACTTGAGATAGGCTAAGTGATTAGATGAGTTTTATCTTGCATGAACTACTATAATAAAATTGACTCGAGAAAGAACCGATCATGTGGATCTTACTCATTTTAATTAACGTTGTTCTTAGTAACTTTATCTCTCCAACTTAGAGACTATTGATGATAACATTGACCCAATTAAACATGTAACCACATTTATAATACTCTTATATATTAGTAACAAAAGTGAGCTTATATGTTACTTTTGATACTCTTATATATTAGTCTTTTATAATCACTCTATCAAATAGAGATACTCCACCTTCCTCCTCAGATAATATCTATCAAATAATCCTCTAAAGAGTTTTAGCTTCATTTGGTTAGTAGTTGATGCCCAAACAAACTTGATCTTCTAGTCAAACTAAATTGGCTCAACTAAGTCCATCCATCCAACCCATATTAGTCCTTTGACTAATCATATTATTTGATTAAAAAAAATTCATATATGAATCTTAAAATAGTAGTCAATAAAGTATAAAATTATATTTTTGAAAGCAATGATTATATATCTATCCCTCTAGGTTTAAATTAAACATACTGAATCTATCAAAAGCAAAAACTAACATATATATATTATTGATTGGTTAAAACTTGTGCTAGTATGATTGAAATCATACATATTGGATTCAAATGCCAAATGATTAGATCGAAAAACATTAAAAAATTGGGCTACCGACCTATCTATTTTACTTGATTAATTTTGTTAAAAATTTGGAATGAACCAATTGGTTCAATCACATTTACTTTAATTAAGTGATCCAATCAAACAAAATCGATCTGATTTTATAAGATAATCAAGGTTACTCGAATACCATCTAGAAAAATATTTATTTATATCAATTTCAAATTAGGATCATGCATATTCTTATTATCATTACTACTATGTTGAATAAAACCCTTTTTGTTTTAGGTTGAAATAATATAATTAATTTTTAAATATTATTGTTTGTTCTTTGGATAAAGATTTTATATTTACAACATTGATTGTCATTTTTTCTTTTTAATCTTATTTTATATTAAAAAAATCTGGCTTTGATTTATATTTAAGATTATTTTTTAATACATATATAAGTTTAAAATTTTAAAGTATCTTAAATCAAACATAAGGTCAAATTAGTTGGTTCACCGGTCCAACCAGTGACCCGCGGTTCGACCCGACCGTCTCCCGATTCGGTTCCAATGACCATACAGGGAACCCGAATCCGAGTTCAAAATACTTTGCTACGGATGGATGCATTACTCGTTTGATCACCCTGGCCTTGGTTACGGATGCAATTATGGGCCCCACAAGGTAGTAAACGTTGTCGAGATGGGCGCGGTAGGAAACGTTGTTACTGTTGTCGAAATACGAGTGACTTGATGGCTCGGAACGCGCCACGTTGCAGCAAAGCATATAGCGTTCACGTGTCATGAGTGGCCGTGAAGCTTCCATTCCCGCCACGCTCCTTTTGAGCCACAGAAAACAAAAAAACACAAAAACAAAAACAAATAAACAAAAAATATCACGGACGAATAAATATGTATATATATATATCTTTATATGTTTATTAATGGGATCGAATTGTTGTTAACGGCACGCACAGTCCACACGGCCGAGCTCTGCCCATGAGAGCCTCCGCCTGTCTCGGCCGCCTTCCCTCGCCGCACCTGTCTGCCGGGAGAAACCTAGTGTTCCTCCGACCTCCGCCGACCTCGCTTGCCGATCCCAGGGTTTTTGCCTCCAGATCGCTTGCCGGAACCGATCCGAGCCCCAAGAACCACCCCCACAGGGATAGAGCTCACAAGTGGAAGAGGAAAGAGCAAGGGGTTGGAAGAGGAGAAAGAGTAGGAGGAGGAGCAGAGGAAGTGCATTGCGATGTCGACGTGGTCTCGTGGCGCGAGAGGCGAGTTCGGGCGTGGATCCTCGTCAGTGCGGACGTGGAATCGGTGTGGAGCGTCCTCACCGATTATGAACGACTTGCCGATTTCGTCCCCAATCTTGTTTATAGGTAATCCCTATTGGTTTTATGTTTCTCTAGTTGTTGTTTTGGTACTTGTCCCTCTGAGTGCATACGTTTTGGGGTTTAGTGGGCGAATCCCTTGTCCACACAAGGGGAGGATATGGTTGGAGCAGCGAGGGTTGCAGCGTGCGCTGTATTGGCACATCGAAGCTCGGGTCGTGTTGGACCTTCAGGAGTTCCCAAACTCGGTATGCGACTTTATGAACTATTGAGCAAAGATTGTACTGTTCCATGACCTAAGTAAATTTTTTTTAAGGATTGATCTTGAAGGAGGTGTTACAATTGGACTCTGTTAGTGTTTAATTCTTGATAAATTTGCAAACTAAGTCTAATCGGGCATTAGTGGTCATACCATGAATGTGAGGAAGTTGGTAGATTAAAAGAATCAACATATTATCAATGGTTGTACCAACATATATTATCTAGTTATCTGATGTAATTCTTGGTTCTGGTTGATGAAAATTTTCTCTGTATTTGCTTAAAATCAATAGATTCATTAGTTGGTTACAAATATTTTTTAAAAAATTGTTGAGAAAAAAGAACTCTTCAATCTTGAGTGGTTAGCTTTGCAGTAAATTATCATTGCCCATCGGACTATCTATTTTCCTGTAAGAAAAGCTGTGTTAGACACTGGTAACATGTGTTGAGATTGCTTATAGTCACTGAAATAACATGATCGAGCAGTCTTCATATTTATTGCTCATTAGAACTTTCTCTACTTCTTCATTTAGTCGTGTTTCAATGACAAAGCTGCTTTATATTGGTTTCTGGCCTTTCTTGCATCTTACAATTTTTCTATTTTTCTATCTTTCATTTAGAGTGTTTGCAAAGACTTCCTTAAGGTTGCACCGGATACTTATCTCAGTTGGCTCATCTTATATAGTTCATGATGCAAAGAATTACAGTAGTGTTTCTGCATGAAATCAGGGTTCTTGCTCCTGTGGTTGATGAAAAATCTCTTGATTTGAATTTTGTCATCTTGATATTTAATCTAATTTTACTTGTTGAACTAACAATGTAACTAGTATAACCGGATTTTGTGTCTAGGCTAATGGGAGTGAGCTTCACTTCTCGATGGTTGATGGGGATTTTAGTAAGTTTGAAGGAAAATGGACTGTAAAAGCTGGCCCAAGGTAGGTCTGACTAACATTACTTTCATCTGATTTTGCATTAGTTGTGCAGGGTGATTAAGTACCCTTTCCTTTACTAGTAATTCTACTTCCTATAACTTTGAATAAGTTTGTGAAGCTGCAGATATTATTGACTTTACATCCAATTTTTATCTTAGTTATATCAAGTAAATTTTTTACAATGACATTAATTCAATTGAACTATTAAAATCATCTTTTTCTGAAGTCATCTTTGCTCCATAATATAGAGACTGGAACTAGGCTCTGTGGATTTCATCTGGTTCATGGACATGACTTTTGCCCTCGATTGGATATTCTTGTAGACATTCATTTCAGGGCGTGTATGGCTAGCTACGTTTCATTTCTGCAAATTAGATGGCTGAACCATCACCTATAATGTTTTTTTCTTGCCAATTGGTCAGTCAAAGGTCAATTCGCAATTCTAAACTCCTTATCCACCACTGTAACCTGCCTGGGACCTTTGCACCAATGCATGAGAGAGTTGCCACCAAGTCGAGAACTAGTCATTGAAGTATTTTAAATTTTAATGGCCTGTATGATGAGTGAATTTCTTATACTTTATCATTTAGGACTAGATAAACAAATGCTATGACTATGTTTGCTTTGCTTGTACATGGTCCATGTAAGTGATGAAACAACAAGTTGTAATGTCCTAGCTCTGCTTATTCATGGTCCTATGGAAGCATCATATGAATTGTTTTGGTGCATCAGTGTGTGCTTATATAGATCTTTGAAGACCACTGTCATTTTCCTCTTTTTTTTGTTCTTGGACATAATTTGTTAAAAAGTATATGCTGCATATCAGCATACCTATAACATAATCAATCTGTAGTTATATGATCCATTTCATTGGTTCACAGATCTTCCATGGCAACTTTATCATATGAAGTAACCGTCGTGCCCAGATTTAACTTCCCAGCAATATTTCTTGAGAGGATTATCGGATCCGATCTTCCTGTGAACCTACGAGCCGTGGCCTGTAGAGCTGAGAGAAATTTTGAAGAAAATCAGAAGACAATAATGAAGATGAATGGCATGAGTGCAACCTTTAGGACCTTGTATGCTTCTTCCTTGGGTAGGTTTGGTTCTGCATCTGAAATTGAGACACTCCCCAACAAGTTCAAGGAAGACCATGATAAGCCTCCTCGTGCTACGCTTTCTGCACCCTCAACCGAGGTTAATGCAAAATGGGGTGTTTATGGAAAAGCATGCAGACTTGATAACCAATGCATGGTAGACGAAATTCATCTCCGTAGATTTGACGGTCTCTTGGTAAGTTATTTAACATAAACTGGTAGTCAATGATACATATCACAGATTGGTTCATATCTTAGTTTGTCTAATAACCGTATGAATGAAGGAAAATGAAGGGGCCCATCGATGTGTCATGGCTAGTATTACCATCAAGGCACCAGTTCGAGAAGTTTGGAATGTTTTAACTGGATATGAGGCATTACCTGAGTGAGGATCTTTATCTCTTTACTTTCACTGTTTATCTACTAATATATGTTCTAGACTAACTTTTGTTCCAGAATATGGTATCAGTGTTGAGTGCACTGTTTCCTTGCTAGTTTGCATAAGTCTACTAAATGTGAAGTTATTTTGCCCTTTTTTTTTATTTTCTCTCTTTACCTCACACCTAAAGAAGCTTTTTTCTTTCAGGATCGTCCCTAATTTAGCAATCAGTAAGATTCTATCAAGGGATAATAACAAGGTCCGTGTTTTACAGGTATGACATATATCTTGCATAGTAGTGGTCGTGTTAGTGCCTTTTAAATTTTATCATTCATTTGCTAAGAATTGTTATGCTTAACAAAGTTAAGTACTGCTCATCCTCGCAATCTTGCATGCTTTCTTTATTAGATAAAATATCTATTGAATCAGCATCACTGTTAATTGGCTTTTCAAGCTAATTAGTGCTGCAACAGTTTCAAAAGGAAGGTTATCAATAACATTCATGTCTTGTGAAGATATTGTGTGTAGACTTAGAGCCTGCCTATGGGGCAATGTTAGAGGTTATGCAAGTAAAGTCATTGCTGTTGTTCATTATCTGGTTAGAAGGAAATAAAATTGCCATTAGTATAGTAACTCAGGTAGTAAAACTATATAAAAGTTAAATGTGTAAACAATAAGATGCAAAGCCACTAGATGTTGGGTCTGATGCATAATATGTCACAATTGTGTTTCAACTGTTACAGAAAATGTTCTAGTTTCCTTCTTTACTCATATTTTTGTCTTCAAGCAATCTCTCATATAGGTTCTATGATACGTTAGTGGCATCTTCTTCAGTGTTTAAAGATTGGAATTATAATGAAGTCTGCTTTCAGGAGGGGTGCAAAGGCCTGCTGTATATGGTCCTTCATGCACGTGTGGTATTGGATTTGTGTGAAGACTTTGAACATGAAATCAAATTTGAGCAAGTTGAAGGGGACTTTGACTCATTTAAGGGGAAATGGCTTCTAGAGCAGCTCGGAAATCAGCATACTTTATTGAAGTATGTTGTAGAATCAAGAATGCACATGGATACCTTCCTCTCAGAAGCTATTTTGGAAGAGGTATGGGTTATATTTGTTATATGTGCTCACATACTGTAATTGTACTACCAGGGTGAACATCAGGTCCAATTGATGAAAATTCTTTATTGTTCGTTATGAGGCTTTTTTTGTCAACTAAAATGTCGAAATCAATGACACCAACACATTCTCGGCAGAAGGTAATCTGAAATTGTTGAAGCATTTCTTTTGAAATGCTTGATTATTTTAGTTTCACTTCCCCATGTTGGTCACTTGAACTTGATGCCTAACTGTCCACAATGTTTACATGCCATCCTCTCTTGGTCTTCTGCCACAAATTGAATCTCAATTACATTACTGGGGAGGGGCTTTTTCATTTTAATGTGACTTATGTGATCTTGGAATTCTACCAATACAGATCTCTCTATTTCAGGTTATTTATGAAGATCTACCATCAAATTTATGTTCCATCCGTGATGCCGTTGAAGACAGAGTAGGTATTAAGAATGACCAACGTGATTATTCTGATGAGCACATTGGATCAAATAGTGATCCTTTGCATGACGACAAGAGTGGGCAAAATGAACCTTCTCCAAATGGTAATGCTGTGTGTACTATAAGACAAAGACCAAAGGTTCCCGGTTTGCAAAGAGATGTTGAGGTCCTCAAATCAGAGCTTGCAGCATTTATTTCAAAGTACGGTCAAGATGGGTTTATGCCAATGAGAAAGCAGCTTCGCTTGCATGGAAGAGTGGATATAGAGAAGGCAATAACACGCATGGGTGGATTCAGAAGGATTGCAGACTTGATGAACTTGTCCCTTGCCTATAAACAACGAAAGCCAAAAGGTTACTGGGATAACCTGGAAAATTTACAAGAGGAGGTAAACTGAATTTTCATAAGTCAGTTCCATGATGTATATATCTTTTTTCAATTGTCATTTATAGTTTGTTTAGTATCTAGATCATCTCCCCCCCCTCTACAATGTAAAAGGGGCATGACAACTGTTTGCATCAGACTTCTTCTGCATCTTTTCTGATATATTGTTTCTCTAGCAAACATGGTTCCGAGTTTGTAAAATTACTTGCTTTTGCCAAGCAGATAAGCCGGTTCCAGAAAAACTGGGGAATGGATCCTGCTTACATGCCTACAAGAAAGTCTTTCGAACGTGCAGGTCAGGAACAATCAGTATATGCCTCTGATGTTTTTTTAGGCTTCATAGATTAAACTTAGATAAATGGAGACCAAAAGAAATTACCCTATAATTTGTGTGTCTTTTGACCAAGTGGGTCATGCAATGATTATCTTCCTTGTAACAGTGCGACTCTCCAATGGCCCTCATTATCAGTCATGCAAACACCACACGGTAGTAGTTTTGTGATCCGCTTGGTCATTTGCTTAACTGACACAGATAAATGGCAGAATTTTTTTTAATTGCTCCATTTACCTCTTGTAACCTTCCCAGGAATGTTATAAATGACCTCAATCTACGGTGACTAACTTGCATATGCAGACATCCTTAAGTAAATCTGCCATATCTATGTCCTGTTAAGGTTGTCCAGTTTCTTTTCCCATAATCAAGACAAATAAAATTTTTGCTGTAGATTATTGTTGCTACTGCAATTGTGGTTCTAATATTAGAATTCGACTCTGATGTACTTGCTGGTTTCTTCTCTCGTTGATTCTTATTTTGTATCAATGCTCACTGATAGGACGCTATGACATAGCTCGAGCTTTGGAAAAATGGGGAGGGCTGCAGGAGGTTTCTCGCCTCCTATCCCTTGAACTGAGATACCCCAGGAGAAGATCAGATGCTGAACAAGAAGGGCAAAATGATCTCAAGGCATCCAATGAACCAAATGGTCAAGAAAAGATGTCAAACAAACCACTCATCGCACAAGATACACACAAGTGGCTGATGAAATTGAAGGATTTGGACATCAACTGGGTGGAGTAGAGTCACCTGATGTCTGTCGATCTGTATATCCTTTCCTTCGTTTCCTGGCATCTCTCCAGTCCCATACGAGATTTACTGGTTACTAGTCTCCCTACCACCAATCAATCAATAACCTATTGCAGGCCAGATAAACTGTGCCAGGAGGCTGATATATATCTACACAAGCTCTGCATATAACCTTCTTTCTTACGGTGTAAAGTTCTTAAAATCTTGAAGAATGGAATTGTATATCTGAGGAACCTTCTTTTGTACTCGGTTTCTCTTCATTTAGGCTTATCCTTGATTTGAAGGACACCGAAACAGAGACTTCAGATTCCAACAAGAATTGAGTCCTGCGCTGTGAACTGATTCAGAACTTCCTAACCATATTTGCAGATACCAAGTTGTGAACCAGCCAGAAACCGGCCGGTTTGCTGCAACTTCCTGGAGCAGAATGCAAGCTAAATCTATGTTCATGGTCCTCCACTACGAACAAATGGCAGCCTTGTTTGCTGCGAGAAACAAGTGAGTCTCCAAAACAATCTCTTTAAATATGATGGTAAGACTGTCCTTTCTTTATATTAATTAGAGTACTACGTAAATAGATTGACTGAAATCTCTACACGCTTTCTGTGAATTTGGCAAGAAGTGGGTCATACTTACCATCCTTCCCTTGCAGGAAGGACATCATTGGAGCCAAGTTTCCTCCGACCTCATCTTGGACTATGACGTGAACGCCTCACTCCTCCTTGACGGAAATCTCCAACCCCCCATGTGCAGGTTGCTCTCCGAATGCTCGCTTTTTTGACATCCTTCACACCACCATTTGACTCCTTTTTTGTTCTTTCTTTGTTCATCGTTTATGCCACAGTTTGGGATGTTATGAAAAATACCGACGCAAGATTCAATCAAACTCGGTAAGAAAGGATTTATTGATCACACACAAATCCCCAAACCTCCTTGTTTTCATCTCTTACTTCGTTGCACATATGACTTTGATGATCCGCATGGAGTCCACTTGGTATACCAATCACTACTTCAAACATATCTTGTTGATTATTTTTTCACCCATTTGTTACTTACTGATATCTTTTTTATCTTTTTTATTTGAATCTTATTAACATCATGGTTCATATACTTAAGTTTATATTGAAATTTTTATATAGTTCTAAAGGTGAAACAAATAGTTTAATTTATCCTAGCGTTATCTGTTATATTGATGAAAAATACAACACGTCACACCACGTGTTGGATCGACATGAAAGTGATAGAAAAAAAGATAATTTCAATATCCTTTTCGTTTTCAGCACGGGAGATGTTAAAATTATCTTTTTACTAGTAAAATCATTGGAAACGAAAGAAATATTAAAATTATTATTTTATATATCATTTTTATATTGATCCAACATATGGTGTCACATGTTGTGTTTTCTATCAAAACAGTTTACGGTGTTAAAATAAATTAATTTATTTTATTTTTTAAATTATACGGATTTAAATATAATTTTTTTAATAAAAAAAATTATGATATTAACAAGGTCCAAATATTAATATGTAATTAACCCCGATTAAGCCTCATATTATTAATTGTATCTACATCTCTACTTTCGATAGATGCTTCTAAATAGATACATTAAACATTCTCCACAACATGTGAATCATAGTTTGTCCCAAAAGTCTATTTAATCATACAGTAAATAAATTATTTTTTATAGTCGTACACATCAGAGTTATCGCATTATAAATTAAAGTCTCTCTTGATAGAGTGTAAGGATATAGTATCTCTCTTCCTTCCGCATTCAATACTACTGCTTTAGAGATTGATCGACTTAAATAGAGTCTCATAGGAAGCTCATATGTCAAAATCACTCGAGTCCATAGCCAAACACACAAGTCGCAAATCTTTAATTTGCAAAAGCTAGACTTGGAAGATTCCAATTGGGAGGATGAAGTATCTCTTGTGGTTTAAGATTGGAAGTGATATGGAATAATGATAGATGGAACCTTATATGATCATCATCTCGATGTCATGTGATTAATATCTCGACGGTATATGATTGATAAGATATCATAGTATTATGTGGTTAACATGTTAGACACGTTGATGTCACATGGTTGAACACTTGGGCAATTAAGTGAGTTGGATATTACCATATCTCGAGTTCGACACATTATGATTGTCACTTAGAAAAAAAGAGTATCACATTCTTTATAATTGACATGTACTTTTTGGAGATAACTATATTCGAAGCCCATTATAAAATAGCTTTTTAGGTGTGTTCTAAGATAAAACCTTTTTTCTACTAAAAAAACTAACGAAATTCTATACAGACTTAAGCTTCTATGGGACCTTGTTGGGAATGCCCTGGATGCAGATTATAAATTTCGAGACAGCTTGGAGGTGAGGTGAATGCGAATAAATCGATCAACATCTCGAGACAAAAGTAAAGAATGATTTTAATTGACTCTTCTAAATCAGTCTCAAAATCAGATAACTAAAATCAGATAACTAAGATAATTTCAATAAAAAAAGATTTCAATCGGGAGAAGTCACTTCTAATTCTGAATGGTAAGACAACTTTTCTAAACGGAAAAATAATAAGTCGGATCACCAAATTTGATGCAACTATTTCTTGCACGTGAGAAAACATACCAGCACGCACAACTACTCTTATCATATCAACCCCATATACTGCTTTCCAAGCTTTGCTGGTGTCTTTTGTCGTGCATGCTCTCTCACCTCCTCTTCTTTTCACCACCACCCTCCGTCCCCTTCCTCAGCGACCGACCCAACTCTTGTGAATTCTCCTCTTTCTTTTCTGCGTTGTCGGTTTGCTTCACCCGATCGCCTTCTGCTGCCCGGCGAAGATGAGAGGCCATGGAGAAGACAACCCACGTTGCTACTGCCACCCCAAGGAAGTGGTGGTAGGAATCTGTGCTCTTTGCTTGAAGGAGAGGCTCCTGGTTTTGGCCTCCGAACAAAACGGACTTCCACAACCCGGTGGCACAAAGAGGCCCTCGAGAACGCTGAAGAGAACACCCAGCGTCAACCTGCGCAATGTGTTTGCGTTGGGCTCTCTCCTGCAGCTACTCGATAATCGATACCACAGGAGCAAAGATACCTCCAGTGGTGAAGACTCCATCGCCAGCCTTGAAGGTACTTACTTCCCTAACCCTCAAACCCTAGTTCTGTATGCTACAAAGAAGATTAGGGAAGATGAAGAAGATCTAAACACACACACACACAGAGGGTATGATTGACGAATTATTGTCTCTAGCAGCAGTCTTAGGGACAAATGAATAACCTAAAGACAAGAATGAATTCTATAAGCGTGCATCGGTTTTTGATAGCTATGGATCTGACCTGGTAGAAAGCTAATCTCCACTTGACCGTGCAAAGACTACATTTCTGCTGACGGTGGTGGTGGTGACAGTAAGCTGTTGATGAACTCGAAATATGATTTCTGTTTGCAGATTCCTTCATCTCATTCAAGTTCGAGGAGGACAGCGGTCAGACATCTTGGCCTAACAAGAGGGCTATCGACTCTACCATACCTTCTACAAGCATCACCTGTGGCAGTGGCATTTCCATGGGAAAGGACAGAACGGGAGTGAGCAGCATAGCGGAGCACAAGAAGCGCGGCGGAGCGAAGCTGCGGTGGCGCAAGAGGATCGGTCATCTCCTCCACCTGGCACGATGGAAGAGGTCCAACAAGGCAAGCACGAGCCATGTGGGATTTGGATGTAAGGTGGATGATGGGTTCTAGGTGATCAAGAACAAGCTTCACAAGGAGGAAAACTACCACAGACTCGAGTGAGAAGGAGTGCGTGTGTGTGTTTGTTTGTGTGTAAAGAGAGAGAGAGAGAGAGAGAGAGAGAGAGAGGAGGTAAGTACTTGTTTTCCATCCAAGTTGAGTATTTTGCTCCTAATCATACGTATGTATGCATATATCTCGCTGCTTTGGCATGCATATCATCTTCACTTTCTTACGGACCCAAAACATACGATGTGATAATGATGAAGTATTATCACATCCAAATAGATTTGCATAACTTTTTATCAAAGAAATGAATGGTATAAAGAAAAGTCATGAATTATCTAAGAAAGCCATGAAAAAGATGAATGCTCGCTAATCACATTCTCACGGAATGGGGGGGGTTAGAAAAGCCACAAAAATTAGAGACGAAGAATGAAAAATATGTTTCAGCTGTAACACACGACAATGTAATAATAATATTCACGTGTGCAGGCCTACCACGGGGAGGTCGAAGGAGACATGCACGTGTGCAGGCCTGGACACAGATCATGTGGGGAAGAAGACCATTCTTCTTTTTAAGTGGTCCATTTCACTTTCTGCATCACATAATGGGTTGCACGCTTCTTTTTTGAGGATTGATTGACTCAAGAATCATGCAAGCAAAGAACAGATCTCTGATGATTTCTTGGGTTCTAATGAAGAGAAAGACTATGTCACATATATCCGTAGAACATAAGATATGCAACTCTCATGTGTCCTATCCTATATGGAAGCCTACTACTTTATATGAGTGTAGTGAAATTGGTATCATCAATGCATACGGAAGAAGCTAGTGAAGAGTAGTAACATGAATTCATGGAGCATACGAAGCAGCATTTTGGAAAGGTGGCAGAAAATTTATGTAGTTCAGAACCTGAAATGCTAATTCCCACTTTAGCCATTGGTTGTTTCCCCGGTATCGGCTTCATTCCGTGCTTAGACTGGCCAACAATGAACAAACAATGTGTCTCTCTCTCTGTCTCTCTAGCAAACAACCGATTAGATGATCGGTCATATAAACTGCTAAATTTGAGACGAAAAAATTGCAGTTAGCAGCTAAACTTAATTATTATCGTATTGAAGTTGCAGGTAGCAGGGAAAAGAGCACGACCTTTTTCACGTCTGAACGAACCCTTGGGGGCATCGTCGGATTGTCTGTCTCCTTTAGAAGAGGGGGGGGAGCATGTTGGATGATGTCCACTTCATGAGAAGATTTGTCATACTTGGAAGGGCATATGTAGGGCTCACATTGTGAATCTCTTTTTCCGGTAATCTCACGCTAGGACAAAGCTTTAACCATGTGGAATGGCTCCTCTGTCTGGGCCGATACATCGCTCTCTGATGTATCCTCCGCACCTTCCAGAATAGATTTTTCTCCTGCTTTTTCCCTGGTCATGGTCCTCCCTGATAATGGTGCATTGGGAGAGCAATAACACACAACATCTAGATTGAAGGCTGATGATACTTGAACATCTTGCGTAAGTCACAACAGTAGCTGAATCTGTGTCTCGTTACAACGATTATAGGCAGAAGAGATCAAAAAATTGAAGTCCATATGCCCCATGGCAGTGGGAAACTCTACCTTCGAAAAGAGATTTAGTTAAGAAAAATGACGCAGAAAGGAGATTTTGGCAGACTGGCCACTGTTCTGTGCCTGCTTGATTGAGTTTCTTTTCCTGTTTAAAAAGTAATAATAAAAGAAATGGTTTTTTTGAAGTACTTCTGAAAACAATTTTCTGGAACTAGCAAAAAATTTTCAGATACATTAGAAGAGGATACAGACCATTTGAATATGCAAAAAATGCTAAAGTTTAATCATTCAACATATATCAGGATAATTCTTTATGACCAGTGTGTCAAAATAAAATATTTGAACTCAAGAAGCAAGTCAAATGATTTCTCATAAAATAAAAAACAACTTAAAAATAAGCTATCATCATCATATGCTTGCATCTTTAACGTAGTAGTAAACCATATAAAGTCTCCGAGCCACGATTACAGATGATTTAATCATCCCAGCTGTGGAGATGAAAGAAGAGTGTGCCTCAATGAAGAAACGAAAACATATGCATTATATAAACAAATCAATTAATTAACTATTGATAATTATTATTGTACTTAAAACAATATTTTAAAATAATAAAATTGTCATTCTGAAATATTAAAAAAAAACATATACTGACAGATGAAGCAAACAAAAAGACAGCAGTAAGTTGATAAAATGTGGATCAAAAATGTCATTCTGAAATTAAAAAAAAAAACATATACTGACAGATGAAGCAAACAAAAAGACAGCAGTAAGCCGATAAAATGCGGATCAAAAAGTCTCTACAAAAGTAAAGATGCCTCCAACAGTGAAGTTTAATCATCTAAAGCATAAAAAGAAGCCAAGGAAACAGAATATTCTAAGCTAAACTGTTTCAAACAACTTGTTCCTGAAAGCAAATACAACATAACTAAGACGACGGGGTTCAAAGCATCATAAAGAAGTCAAGGAAGCAGTCAGTCAGGTTGTTAATCCGCATAGATGACAAGGTCCGGGCAGCACTTTGAGATGACTTGTAAGACGTGACCATCAAAAGAGCACACCTGTGAAGAAAAAACAGGAAATGTCAAACACCAACCTATGATAAATGTTCATTTGAGCTAGCGACAATAAGTAATTTTATCATGATCAAACAAGCAAAATAACAATAAAAGCAACACTAGTCTGTTGATGCAGAAAATTGTTCAACTTATTCAATTCAAAACCATCACGAAAATTCAACAATCACTGATGTAGTAACATGGCTCAGAGAATTAGGATTACAATTGTTTTCATGTGTCCATCATTCAATTTGCCTAAAGAACCTCTTGACTAACGAAAATGGAACTCATGCAATTTCAACATAATTTGTATGCATAATCTTTAAGAATTTCTCAAGGAATTCAAATTCGTGTTATTTGCCAAAATATTTTTGTTATGAAATGAGAATCAGACAGTTGATTTATTTCATTAGTTGGATTCTCCCTTCAACATCATAATTTTATTTGAACTTAATCCAGATTTAAATATTTGTATTATAAAGAAATAAATATAGCTGCTCATGTTTAGTTTCTGTACGAATCATGGTACTGACACATGCATGAATATGTATATCCAATTCGGAAAACAGGATACATAAGACATGAATATCATAATAGATGTATTTAACAATAATGACAATTGTAATGAAGCTCAGTTAGTCATCAGATTCTGTAATATATTCAAAATCTCATGGTTTCTTCTTATTAACCTTCTCAGGTGATCTTTTAGTTTAGTACAAAGCTGCACAGGTCAGTTCCCAGGATTCTGGTACCTCTCTGTATATGTGCAAACAAAGATAAATGCATTTCTTTATAAGCATATATCTTAGCTTGATTATGTCTATTAATCTTGGCTCAAATTAGTCCATTTTCAAGGAGAACTATCTTAACGTATCAGCTAACTTGGTAACTAATCCAGTTTGCGCTTAGATATTTTTAACATTTAATAGATTAATACTTCTCTAATTAAATGTTATTTTCTCATTAGACATCAAGTTGTAATAGGTACCATGATTTACTGTAGAATCTTGGCTTTAAGGGTAACGCACGAACAATGAGTCACTCGATAACACGTGAATATATGAACAACAATCTATCAAGTTTGAGACCAAACAGAAAGACACTCCCAAATCTCATCATTTCAATCTTAACACAAAGGATGTGTTAGATATACTATTAAGTCTCAAGTAGAAAAAAGATGTGGTTGATTCAAGCTTTTTGAGTTTCAAAGTCATATGTTGTCTACTCTATATAGTTCCAAGAAAATTTAAACTTTAGCTATATACGAGAAAGACAAAAACACAAGTTGGTCTAACATACCTGTTAATGGAGCATCATAGAACTACAGGCACCATTTTTTCACTGACAAGCTCCAACAGCAGAAACTCTTGGACATTGAACAACCAACTGCTTGTGCTGATTGGACAAAGAAGAACTGGGCTTGTCACCTTCAGTGTCTTTATACTTTCTGTCATTATCATCATTAGTAGGTTGGTCTATATAGATAACTTGGCCAAACAGCTGGAAAGATCCCGTACTAGGTTTTTTAACTGGATTACTTCTTGTTTCGAGAATCCTTCTGTCTAAAACCTGGATGCTTTCCTGGCTAGGTTGAGATGAACCTCCTAGTGAAGTGGTACCGATCCTTTGATCTACGGACACATCATTCTTTTCTAACATGCTAACACCATGTGGACCATCGATAAATATTTTATCTCTATTTATTGCAGAATCACATAAATGGGGTATACTGATGGAATCATGCCTGGCTCCCTGCATGCCAGCAGGAACAATGTAACTGAAAAAGGGGGATACACTGCCAATTGATTTACTCTTCGTTCCTGTCATCTGGAGTGTCTTCCCCGTGGAATTCCCAAGAAATTCTGAATTTTCTGGCATCTTGAAATTCCTTATGACAGAAAATGGAGTTTCTATCTGAGAACTGACAGACACCAAATCCACCTGCCAAGGACTAACATTTTTGACATTTTGCAAAACCTCTGGTTCATCCCAATTAACCTGATGAAAAAACAAATAAGAAAAATATAGAAAGCAAATCATGATGCCAAACCAATGCTATTTTGACAATAATAGAAGGGGTAACAAGAAGTTGAAGGTGTGGGTTGAAGGGGTCGAAAAAGACAAAATCATGAATTTTTTTAGACTGGTTACTCAAAATGATAAAAAATATAATTGGCATGCTTCGTATATAAGGTCCAAGTGCAAGCATATTGAACAATAAATTGCATCTCTAAATAAAAACGAAAATACTATCTCAGGAAAATGCTCACGCTCCAATCTAATCCATAGATGGCATAAGTAATTTCTTAGGAAGAATACGAAACAGTTGCCAAAAAAGCCAAATCCATGATTCCAAATCCTAGAGACTCTCAAGTGCAAAATTTCTAAAAACAAATAGTTCCAAGTATTCAATTATATCACTCTAATATCATTTGAGGAAAAGAATTTATAACCATGTA